CGTGCCATCAAGCCCAGGTCAGCATCGTCTTCAGTGCGTCACATGGCGGCCACTAGGATCATGGCAGGATCAGCTTTCGGAGATGTTTGTCGGAGGAGGCCCTCAGCTGCGCTCACCAGACCTCATCTACAGTGGCGCAGACCGATACAGACTGCACACGGTCGGCATGGGCACCGTTGAGCTAGAGCTCTGCATTATTCTTCGCCACTTTGACAGATACGGTGTGGAGAGCTGACGGACTGCAGGTTAGGACACATTTCAGAAAAGGAGGGTGTGGAGTGAAAAAAAAGCTCAAATATTTGGTTATATTGGACTAGAGGTACAAAAATGTATATATTGTGTCATAGAGTGAATGAAATAGTGAGTTATGGGTTTGTCTGCAGGCTGAAAATGTGTTGTGCTTTGCGTCTCAAATTATACTTTTGTATTTTTTGCACACTTTGTATGTTTTCTAGCATTGTATTATGATCTGATGCAATTAAATTTGATATTCGTCAATGCATTTGGCTTAAGAGTTGTTGGGTAGCTCACCAATATATTAGATTTAGGTATGGGACAATAACCATTTTCAAGGGACAGTATATCGCGGTTTGGAAAAGTCAGGGTTTTAAAACCACCAAAATACTCTGCTGTTTTTAGGATAACCGTACCTCCAGCAGAAAAGATATTCAAAAATGCAGTTTAAATGGTAAAGAAATCAGTGTTTTGAAACCTAATGATGACAGCAGAAGTCAATGATTCATTTGAATTATTTAGCCTGACATGTTTACTGCTCCAAAATACTTTAAATGTTTCTCAAAATAAAATATATTGGGTTCAATGGGGGACATAATTTTTAGTTTTTTTACCCAGACATTTAAAATGAACATATATTAGAGCAGGAAACACAATACTGTGAAACCGTGATATTTCCATGAAGGCTATCATACCGCCAAAATCATACCAGCCCATGCCTAATTAGATTACTCTAATACATAAAATAAGTTAGCTGACCATAGTTCTTGTGTAGGCAAAGTTCTTCATCAGTGATGTTTAGGTCCCCAAGAAATCAAAACTAACCATATGTTCTGTTAGCTCACATTGCTTGTTTAGTGGTGAACAATTCATCTGTGCATGTCATTAAGTTAAATAATAGTTTGCCCTTCTAATCTTTAATCAACATCTGAAAATGCACTTCCTGTTTTTTTGGGTGTAACCAACATATTTAACCACGCTGCTCCAACTGTCAGTTTTGACAGCAAACAGAAGTGGTGAGCAGGAGGAGTCTGTTAGGTTGTAAAAACTCTTCCAAAACCCCTTCCCCGATCAATCTTTCTGAACCAAATGCCTTCTTTACTACATCCATTCAGCCCCTAGTAGAAAAAAAACAAGCTACGCCCACTGTTTGCTCACTTGATATTCTGTTTCTCTAGTAACTGTGTCACAATACAAAAAAAAAAAAAAAAACCGATCGCAGCTTCCGGTTCATGGGGACTTTAACATGTTGTTCTTTAATGATCTTAACTTAAAGAATGTGAAACAAAACATTATATATGTTACAATAAATTATATGACTCCACCCTGAAGCTTCTAGAATATACAAGTTATACCCAACTGGAATGTCCTGAGGAACACAATTCTTTTGGTTGGGTCATACTTATTACTTTCTGTAGGCCATTTGGTTCACAACATTTTAGATGAAGGTACTTGTTTTCATATGAAACAAGCCACACAATCTACCAACTTAGCTGTAATGTACACTAACGGTCAAAAGTTTGGGGTCAGTTTTTTTTTTTTTTTTTTTAATTAAAGAAAATTATTCTGTTTATCAAGGCAGCATTCATTAAATGTGAAAAAAGCTAGGCAAATATTTATTACAATTTTAAATGGCTGCTTTCTTATTGTATGTAGTTTCAAATGAAAAGAATACTCCAGTCATTATTGCTTTTTTACTATTACCATTGATAATAATAATATTAATAATAGTATTATTATTAATAAATATATAATATAAGAGTGATCTCTGAAGGATTATGTGACTGAAGACTGGAGTAATGAAGCTGAAAATAATCTTTAAAATCACTGTAATATATTATTAAATGCTAAACACTTTTATAGTTAATTTTATGGTGCAATAACTTTTCACAGTTTTACAATTTGTACTGTATTTTTAATCAAATAAATGCAGCCTTGGTGAGCAAGAGAAGCATATTTTAAAACCTTTAAAAATCCCATTGACCCCAAACTTTTGACTGGTAGTGTAAATACAGAATTAATAGCCCCCTTTGAATGTATTTAATGTTTAACAGAGCAAAGGACATTTTCACAGTAAGTCTGATAATATTTTTTCTTCTGGAGAAAGTTTTATTTGTTTCATTTCAGCTAGAATAAAAGCAGATTAACATTTTTTTAAAACCATTTTAAGGTCAAAATTATTAGCCCCTGAAGCTATATTTTTCGATAGTCTACAGAACAAACCATCGTCATACAATAACTTGCCTAATTACCCTAACCTTCCTAGTTAACCTAATTAACCTAGTTAAGCCTTTAAATGTCACTTTAAGCTGTATAGAAGTCTCTTGAAAAATATCTAATCAAATATTATTTACTGTCATCATGGCAAAGATAAAATAAATCAGTTATTAGAAATGAGTTATTAAAACTATTATGTTTAGAAATGTGTTGAAAAATGTCTCTCCTTAAAACAGAAATGGTGGGGGGGGGGGGGGGGGGGGGGACCAGCGGGGCTAATTACTCTGACTTCAATTGTATATACATGTTTTGTAGATATAGATAGTGGAAATAACTCCGTCACATTAAGCTCATTTCCTGTAAAGCTTCTAATCATTTTAGTGAGATAAAGAAAAAAATGCTTACAACCAGAGACAACTTTTAAAATGTGCATAGAATAGTATAGTAAGTGAGAGGAAATAGTTTTTCAAAGAGGATTCTCACACACACACACACCCACACACACACACACACTATATAAAGAGTGAGTTATATTTGTCTCATATACTATTGAAAACTGAAACTTTTGAACTCAGAGTTTTCAAAGGCTCATCTTGAAAGGGCTTGATTTTTTTTATTTTTTTACAGCTGATAGTTGACTCCATCCTGTTTCTGAAAAGTGGTAAAAGTTTAGCAGTTAAGAGTATTCAAATGTGTAGTTTCATGTCCTACTTGCACTACTTGTGAAGTTCATCAGTTCCTCTCTAAAACTCAGTTTCTTTATATAGCCATGATGAGGGGGGGCTGGGGGAGGGTGTTTTTTTTTTTTTTACAATGACGAGTGTGCAGTTGTCATGATTTTTGGGTGCCTCTGCTAATTTGCTGATAAAAAAAAAAGTCTGCTTTCTCCTAAGCTTTCTGGAGTTCGGAAGTAGGATAGCCCCTGTGGGAATAGGCTCTGCATTCTGTAAACAAAATCTGTTGAAGATATTTGAGCATGATAAACTGCAGAGCTAGCATACTTTTGTGTTGTGTGATTTAACTGTTCCTTAAACAAACTCCGATAACTTTTAAAAAAAACAAAGTGCATTTAGTATTTTTTTAGTTACAAAAAAAATCAGATACTACCTTTACTGCTGTAACATTATGATTAGATTGTTTCTGAGATGAAAGTTTGTGCATATTTAGATTTTAAACTAACGTGCAATGTTGGGATGTTTGCTAGTTGTATACTTTAGCTCAAGTACCTCTAATTAGACCTTAACAAAGCATCGAAAAAACATAGCTGTGAGAGTATATAGACTTTAATAGCACTTGGGAAATATTTAAAAAACTATTTAACATGAATGATAATTGTTTAAACTTAGTCAAAGGCATGATAAAGTTATGTTTATTATAAGCATACTTCACTTAATGTTCAAGTTCTTTGAAATCAGGTAAATTCTGATTGGCTGTCAATGTTTTATTGTTCATCAGCTTGGAAAATTTGGTTTTAAAGTGATTCCAATGATGCTACTTTGTGCCTAGACTCATATGATTAGATATCTTTTTATACTTTAAGCACCAAGAATGATAATGCCAGGAGTTACCCTGAATAATCACTGTGGGTGTTCTCAATATTTTCATACAGGCAGAAACTTGCTTTATAAAATAAGCACAACTACTTCTAAATACATGATTTTGATGTTTGGGATAATGCGTCAGGCTGTTTAACATTTTATAGCATACTTTAAAAAAGTCCAGAACAACAACAAAATAAATTTCCATTTCAGACAAGGTGGAGCCCCATAGCACACCTACTGTACCTAAGATGAAATGATATCAGCCATGTTCACTGTAGGTTCCACATTTGTGGTAAACAGCCTGACGCATTATACCAAACATCGAAATCATGAATTTTGAAGTTGTTATGTTTTGATTTATAAAACACGTTTCTGTACAAATATTTTAAGTATACTTTTACTTTCCTTTTTTTTTTTATTCTTATAAATGCCCAAATAAAATTCTTGAGAAAACCCACAGTGATTCTTCTGGGTAATTTCTGACATGATCATTCTTGGTGCAAATGGATCCTAAAGTATAAAAAGATATCTAATCCTATAAGTATACAGTAGGCCGGGATAGCAAAAAAACATGACATGCTGTAATGATAACGACACAAAGGTCAGGAGCATCACTGGAATCACTTTAAAACTACATTTTTTTAAGCTGATGAATAATAAATCATTGATAGCCAATCAGGATTCACCTGATTTTAAAGAACTTGAATATTAAGTGAAGATTAAAACAATACAATTACAATAAACATAACTTTATTATGCCTTTAAGTGAATGCTAATATTCCAGCACTCCTGTAAAGTTTTGATTGTTTTTCAAATATATCCCAAGTGTTGTTTAATAGAGAGAATAACACCTTTTTAAAATAGTAGTTAGTGACTAATTTCTAATAACTTCTAATTTCTAATAACGAATTGTGTGTGTAATATACTAGTATTCAGCTTTAAAGTTCTATTTAAAGGCTTAACTTGGGTAATTAGTCATTGGACATTAGTGGCTTGTTCTATTAGACATATTAAACCCTAAAAAGACCCTACTGACCCTTAAAATGATTTTTTTTAAATGAAAACTCCTTATATTACAGTCAAACTAAAATGATGCATGCTTATAATGAATTGCATATTAGCAATTAATAATGTGGCTGCTGATGTAGTTGCTATGTTTAAAGTCCTAATTTCCTGTTTGAGGAAGACATCGAGTTCACACAATTCTTTTAAATTCTTATTTTCCCTGAATTTTTGTATGTTGCTTCATTCTAAACATGTAGTACTTTGCTGAGTAAATAGCAATACCTAGCTGACTCCAGGCACATGATGGGCTGAACTGAACCCTTTGCCTCACATAATGTCCACAGTACGGGTTAAACCTTCAGGGGAAATTACTGTGCTGCAAAGGAAGTGTTGTGTCATTTGGTTAAACTGTGCTGCTTCCTTTTCCTCATTTTGTCATTCCTTGAGTTGAGAGCAAAATAAGTGTTTTCAGACCAAGAGGACGACACAAGGAAAGAACTGCTAATACTTTAAACCTTGAATACCTGTATTTGTTTTTTCCTGTTGAACGGGAAGCAAAGAAGCCGTTGAGGTTATCGAATGGAAACTATGAACGGTTAATGAAGCATGGTGGCTTGCGAGGACACCTTTTGTCTGGTTTTGATAGACCTCTGACTTCATTGGTGAGTTTTTTTTGGGTTTTTTGCCAGATCCACTGACACTGTTGTTCAAGCAACATGAGCATCCGCATCTCAGAGATGTTCTGATTCAGGCTGCTGGATTTAAAGTGAAGACGGCAACATTGGCTTAAACGGCAGCGATGCTAAAGTGACGCCAACATTATATCTAGAAGTTTAAAGTTCTGTATCACTTCATTGGCAAACTCTACTGAAGATAATTTCCAGCAACCCTGACCATGAAGGCGGAGAGTTTATTACTGGCATTGCAATGTCTGTTGGGATTTGTGCAATACAGCAGAGCGCTGTCAACATGCAATCCTTTAGACCTGGAACTGATCAAGAGAAAGCGCATCGAAGCCATTCGTGGACAGATTCTCAGCAAACTACGACTGCCCAAGGAACCAGAAGTAGAAGAGAAGGAGTTGATTGAAAACATCCCAGCAGAACTGATCTCAGTGTACAACAGCACCATGGAGCTCAATGAGGAGCAGGCAGCGAACCCAGTTCAGCACACCATAGAAGATCCAACAGAGGAGGAATACTATGCTAAAGAGATTCACAAGTTCACAATGAGTGAGTGGCACTATCCTTTCTCCATTCAATACGGAATGATTACAGCGCTTTTCTTAGTTAGCACCTAAATGCCATGTGCCTGTTGATTTCCTTGGAGAATTGAGGGTGTGTGCAAATGATCTGACCACAAACAGGAAGGAAGGCTACTAACAGATGCTAACCGAGTGACTCAGATCCTGGATTTAGTGTTCCTGGGTAAATTACAGTATCACTCAGCTCCAAAACATCCCTTTATCTGCTTCTTAAAGCCTTATTTGGATGAATATACGGGGGGTATTTTAGTGAAATGAATTCGCAAAACCACTGATAATGAAATGACAGTCACTTGTTTTGAAAAAAAAAAAAAAAAAACTTAATTCCGTCATCATTATCAGGGGATTAGGGTCTGTAACACTTTAAAATGTATTCATTTAAAAGTGGCAGTAACAACTTCTCTGAGGTTGTAATAAATACTGTTTTATTTTACTTTCTGTTAATCAAATAATCATAATAACGATGCATCAAAGGTTTCTGCCTAATTGTTAAGCTGGAAATTGAGATTATAGAGTGATAACAGTTATATGATCCACTAAATGCTGGATGGTTTCAACCCAAATTTGGCTTAAAGATGGACAAACGCAACCAATGAACCAAACTCAACCAATTTTAACCCAACAGCTGGGTCCTGTCCATATCTAAGTCAAAACTTTTTTAGATTGTAAATATACAGCTATGGATCAAAAAAGTAAACAGAAACCACTTGAAAATTCTGTTTTTTTTTTTTCTGATTTACTGAATTTGAAATGTTCGTATTTGTTTTATGCCTGATAACATATTGTTCCAAACTTAAATTAAATGTACTCATAATTAGAGTTTTCTTTCTTTTAAAAATAAAAGGAGAAAAAAAAAGATATTTGGTAAAAATAACCTTTTTTATTAGTTGTGATTTAAAATGAGGGTTATTCTACTACAGTACTGGTGGAATTTTTTTCAATTCCCCTGAGGTTAAAACACACACACACACACACACACACACACACACACACACACACACACACACACACACATATATATATATAGTTGAAGTCAGAATTATTAGCCCACCTGAATTATTTGCCCCCTGTTTATTTTTTTACCCCAGTTTCTGTTTAACGAAGAGAAGATTTTCCAAAATATTTCTAAACATAATAATTTTAATAACTGATCTCTAATAACTGATTTATTTTATCTTCGCCATGATGGCAGTATATAATATTTTACTAGATATTTTTCAAGACACTTCAGTTTAAACATTACAATACAGTTTAAACATTTGACATTTAAGGCTTAACATTTAAAGGCTTAACTAGGTTAACTAGGCAGTTCAGGGTAATTAGGAAAGTTATTGTACAACAATGGTTTGTTCTGTAGAATATCAAAAAAAAAAAAAAAAAAAAAGCTTAAAGAGGCTAATAATTTTGACCGTAAAAGCATTTTAAAAAAATTGACTTTTATTCTAGCCTAAATAAAACAAATAAGATTTTCTCCAGAATGCATATATGTATATATATATATATATATATGTAAATTCATTCATTTTTTTTCGGCTTTTCGACCACAGCGAAATTAACCGCTTATCTAGCTTATGTTTTTTATGCAGCAGATACTCTTCCAACCTCAACCCATCACTGGGAAACATCCATACACACTCATTCACACACATACACTACGGACAATTTAACCTAACCTAAAGAAAATTTTAAATTCACACTGAAGGCATCAAAACTATGAATTAACACATGTAAAATTACATACATTACAAAAAAGTGTGAAACAACTGAAAATATGTCATATTCTAGGTTCTTCAATGTAATCACCTTTTGCTTTGATTACTGCTTTGCACACTCTTGGCTTTCTCTTTATAGTCAGCTGTAATGGATTTTACTTCAGGTGTGCCCTGTCAGGTTTAATAAGTGGGATTTCTTGCCTTATAAATGGGGTTGAGACCATCAGTTGTGTTGTGCTGAAGTCAGGTGGATACACAGCTGATAGTCCTACTGGATAGGCTGTTAGATTTTGTATTATTGTGAAAAAAAAGCAGTTAAGTAATGAAAAACGGGTGGCTATCATTACTTTAGAAAATGAGAGTCAGTCAGTCTGAAAATTAGGGAAAACTTTGAAAGTGTCCCCAAGTACAGTCACAAAAACCATCAAGTGCTACAAAGACACTGGCTCAGGTGCGGACCGCCCCAGGAAAGGAAGACCAAGAGTCAGCTCTGCTGTGGAGGATAAGTTCATCAGAGTCACCAGCCTCAGAAATCGCAGGTTAACAGCAGCTCAGATTAAGGACCAGGTCAATGCCACACAGCGTTCTAGCAGCAGGCACATCTCTAGAACAACTGTTGAGAGGAGACTGTGAATCAGGCCTTCATAGTACAGTAGAATATCTGCTAGGAAACCACTGCTAAGGACAGGCAACAAGCAGAAGAGACTTGTTTGGGCTAAAGAACACAAGGAATGGACATTAGACCAGTGGAAATCTGTGCTTTGGTCTGATGAGTCCAAATTTGAGATTTTTGGTTCCAACCACAGTGTCTTTGTGCGACGCAGAAAAAATGAACGAATGGTCTCTACATGCCTGGTTTCCATGTGGATGCATGGAGGAAGAGGTGTGATGGTGTGGGCGTGCTTTTGCTGGTGATCCTGTTGGGGATTTAATCAAAATTGAAGGCATACTGAACCAGCATGGCTACCACAGCTTCTTGCAGCGGCATGCTATTCCATTCGGTTTGCGTTTAGTTGGACCATCATTTATTTTTCAACAGGACAATGACTCTAAACACACCTCCAGACTGGAGGGGTTGTTTGACCAAGTAGAGTGATGGGGTGCTGCACCAAATCACCTCGCCTTAGTCACTGAACCTAAACCCAATCGAGATGGCTTGGGGTGAGCTGGACCATAGAGTAAAGCCAAAAGGGCCAACAAGTGCTGAGCATATCTGGAAATTCCTTTAAGACTACCTCTTGACTACCTCTTGAAGCTCATCAAGAGAAAGCCAAGAGTGTGCAAAGCAGTAATTAAAGAAAAAGGTGGCTACTTTAAAGAACCTAGAATATGACATATTTTTAGTTGTTTCACACTTTTTTGTTATGTATATAATTCCACATGTTAATTAATAGTTTTGATGCCTTCAGTGGGAATTTACAATTTTCATAGTCATAAAAATAAAGAAAACTATTTGAATGAGAAGGTGTGTCCAAACTTTAAATACAGTTGAAGTCAGAATTATTAGCTCCCCTGTTTATTTTTTCCCCAATTTCTGTTTAACAAAGATTTTTTTTTCAACACATTTCTAAACATAATAGTTTTAATAACTCATTTCTAATAACTGATTTATTCTATCTTTGCCATGATGACAGTAAATAATATACACTTCTATACAGCTTGAAGTGACATGTAAAGACTTAACTAGGTTAATTAGGTTCTCTAGGCAGGCTAGGGTAATTAGGCAAGTCATTGTATAACAGTGGTTTGTTCTGTCAACTATCGAGAAAAAATATAGCTTAAAGAAGCTAATAATTTTGTCCCTAAAATGGTGTTTAAAAATGTAAAACTGCTTTTATTTTAGCTGAAATAAGCAACTAAGACTTCTTCTACAGAAGAAAAAATATCAGACATGCTGTGAAAATGTCCTTGCTCTATAAAACATCATTTGGGAAATATAAAAAAAAAATAAAAAAAATTCAAAGGGGGCTAATAATTCTGACCTAAACTGTATATATATAGCAGCTCATACTGTATAAAACACACCCTTTATTCTCCACTTTTTCAGGGCACTATTCAAATAATAAAAAGTCCCATTTCCAGACATACTTCTAACCATTTTTGCTTTCTATCTATTTACAAGTGGAGGAAAAACCAGAAAAGTACTTAGTTTTCAACATCACAGATATAAAGCACAAACTGGGTGCAAATCATGTGCTCTACCAGGCCGAGTTTCGACTGCGCATCAAGGAACCTAAAATGGGGGATTCAGAGCAGAGACTGGAGCTGTACCAGGTCACTGGGAACAAATCACGCTACCTGAACTCACGCTTCATTTCCCTTCAAACGGCTGGCAAGTGGGTGTCGTTTGATGTGACGTCCACCCTGAAAGACTGGTTGCAGATGCCTGGTGAGATTCACTGTTTCCTGCAACAAACCAGTGTGCTAAGCTGCAATTTACTCACACACAAGCAATTATCTAAAATAAAATTAAACTTGCTCGAAATGTAGCTTATTTTCAACACATCATATTACTAGTACAAACATTGACTGTACCTAACCATATCCAACATCACAATCCTGGTGGTAGTAACTTAGATGAGTCAAATATCAAATATGTACTTACTCCAAGGGCCATTTATATCGAAGTTGATATTTAGCCGCACTATATTGGTGTTTCATAACATCTAGTTTTTATGAGGTGGGTTGTCAGCCCAGGACCCAACCGGGAGGACCAGGACATACACATACACTACAGACAATTTAGCTTGCCCTATTCACCTACAACACATGTCTTTGAACTGTGGGGGAAACCAGAGCACCCAGAGGCAACCCATGCAAACACAGGGGCAAACACAACATGCAAACGCCACACAGAAATGCCAACTGACACAGCCGGGGCTCGAACCAGCGACCTTCTTGCTGTGAGGTGTCAGTGCTAGCCACAGCACCACGGTGTCGCCAAAATAACACTGCTACAAACCTTCATTTTAAAAAAAAAAATCTGTCACGTTGTAAACACTCTTGCTGTTGTGGTTCTTGAATTTACATAAAATAGATTTTAATATATGTTAGTTATTATGTTAGTGGCAAGAAGTCATAGTGCTGAAATCAGTTCTTTATAGTATATTCAGAGATGTCACAATAATATTGATCGTCATTCTTTCAGTTTTAGATTGCTTATATTACACTGACACTGGTTTATTTGTTTTAAATATATCACATGCATCCAAATAATGCTTTTTAATTTAAACTTTCTCTAAATTTCATCCACAGAGGAGAAGCAGGAGTTTCAGCTGCAGCTGGCCTGTAGCTGCAAGCCCGAGTCTCAGAACACTGAATTTTTATTTAAAATAGCAGGTTTGTGAATTCAAATTAAAAGCCTGTATCAGCTTGTTTAGATACAACAAGCTAATATTACTAATTGTGCACACAGGTTTGTCCCGCAATAGAGGTGATACGGGCCTCTTAGCGGACCAAGTGGCAAAGCCTTACATTTTGGTGATGTCACATCCTGCTGATGGCCACAGCCCAGCAAAATCGCGCAGAAAACGGGAAACAGATGCTGTTTGTACTGAGTGAGCAATTTATTTTATGATTTATGATTTATCTATCTATCTATCTATCTATCTATCTATCTATCTATCTATCTATCTATCTATCTATCTATCTATCTATCTATCTATCTATCTATCTATCTATCTATCTATCTATCTATCTATCTATCTATACTCACCGGTCACTTTATTAGGTACACCTTAGTAGTACCGGATTTGACACTCTTTTGCCTTCAGAACTGCCTTAATCCATTTTGGCATAGATTCAACAAGGTGCTGGAAATATTCCTCAGAGATTTTGGTTCATATTAACATTATAGCATCACGCAGTTGCTGTAGATTTTTCACATTCATGATGCAAATCTCCCGTTTCACCACATCCCAAAGGTGCTCTGTTGGATTGAGTTCTGGTGACTGTGGAGGCCATTTGAGTACAGTGAACTCATAGTCATGTTCAAGAAACCAGTCTGGGATGATTTGCATTTTATGACATGGCACGTTCTCCTGCTGGAAGTAGCCCTCAGAAGATGGGTACACTGTGGTCATAAAGGGATGGACATGGTCAGCAACAATACTCAGGCAGTCTGTGGTGTTGACAGACACATGCTCAAATAGTAGTACTTGCCCCAAAGTGTGTCAAGAAAATATCCACCACATCATTACACCACCAGCAGCAGCCTGAACCGTTGATACAAGGCAGGATGGATCCATGCTTTCATGTTGTTGACGCCAAATTCTGACCCTACCATCTGAATGTTGCAGCAGAAATCAAGACTCATTAGACTAGGCAATGTTTTTCGATTGGCTGATTTGCGTTAATGAGCAGTTGGACATTTGTACCTAATAAAGTGGCCAGTGAGTGCATCTATCTATTTTTAGTGGAAATCAAAATTAGAGAAAAATTTGTGGATAAAAAGCCTAGTCTAACCTTTACTAACAGCATGTGGTGTGGACACAGAATGAGTTGATTAGCATGTTATAGCTATTTCTGTGAAAAAAAGGTCAATAAATCGTTTTGTTATTTTGATCTTCACTGTATTTGTGTATTATATAACGTGTGTGCTACATCAGAAGCCTTACTGCTGTCCTCTGCGTGTTGAATACAGAAAGTCTGAGGGTTGCTGTGTTAGAAGTCTGTACATTGACTTCCGCAAAGACCTGGGCTGGAAGTGGATTCATGAACCTTCCGGTTACTATGCCAATTATTGCACTGGCTCTTGCTCCTATGTCTGGACATCAGAAAATAAGTACTCACAGGTAACCAACAGTCCCTTCCACACAGTTCTGTATGCTACTTTTACCATAACGTGTGATTCAAAAGCTCATACATTTTGACTTTTGCACAACATATCAACACAATCTCAAGGCAATTCATAATTTTTTGTTTTAGTGGTTAATTCGTATGAATTTGTATGATCTCATTCATACAATTTAGTACAATTTGCTTATCCCCCAATGACGGGTGGGTTTAGGGGTGGGGTTGGGTGCCATGCCTACTTTTTAAAATAGTACATTTTCATACGACTGAACTCATAAGAATTTGTAATAATTAACCACTAAACTCACAAAATGTAAAATAGATACATTTCTTTGTGAGATCAGGCTGGACATACCTACACTGTAGAAAAATATACTGGTGGACTTAGATTTTTAAGCTGAATCAAATTAACAATTAAGTCAATTAAACTTATATTATGTTAAACTGACTTAAAACAGCTTGCGTATCTTACAAAATTAAGTTAGAACATGATTAACTTAGTTTAATAAGTAACAATGATCTACAACATATGCTGTCAGGACTAATTGACCATATATTTTTTAGTGTATACATGTATGGCTTTTCCAGAAAACTTGCTCAGTAGCTCAGCTGGTACAGTATTGCTCTTGTCATGCAGAGAGCTTGAACCTTTTAAAGAACTTTTTCAAAATTCTGCTTGATACCTGAAAACAAGTCTTGCTATTTTTTTTCTTTTTAAAATATGACATGTCATTTGTTATTGTGATTGTTGGTTAGAGAAACACCTTTAAAGCTGACATTGTTTAAGTGCTATGTAATCAGGACAACCTAGTAACTAACAAGCTTCGTTTTACAACCTTACAGAAAAATAACTGTTCATTGCCATAAAATATTGCCTCGTTACTTTTCACACACCCTGGATATTAACACCCCTTAATCTAGCTTTACACATTTACACCTATCAGAACAGAGCATTAATATGCTAGTCAATGAGTTGAATCTGTAAGCTGCAAACACAGGCTTCTCCATTAATACATATTATAAATGTAACCGCTTTCTTTCAAAAATGTCCGGGTTCAGTCCTGAAGCTGTAACCTCTTCCTTTCCTATTTGCTTGTTTTGTCATTTCTGGAGTGTCAGAATAGCATGTAAAGGCCATGCCATGTGCTTCGAAAGCAGTTGCTTATATGCATTTAAATATGCAGTTTCTGCTTACATGCATATAGAGGCTAATTTGACAGGTTAAAATAAAATATTTTGTGAGACTTTATTGCAAACGTTTAAACAGCATGCAAAAATTTTTGCAAAAAATTTCACGATAGGCACATACTGTATTATCATGAAATTGGGTTGGATGTTTCACAATGTACTTTAAAAACTAAAAAAAAAAAAACGTGCCTGATAGTTTTGTTTTTTTATGTAATTTTGCCTACAGGTTCTTGCACTATATAGGCATCATAATCCTGGTGCCTCTGCTCAGCCCTGCTGTGTACCTCAGGTTCTAGACCCACTGCCCATCATTTACTATGTGGGGAGACAGCATAAGGTCAGAACAGATTTTCTCACTTTCATCAGCTCTCAGTAAATGCTATCTAAATAAAGCTCAATGTATTTTCCCCCAGGTGGAACAGTTGTCAAATATGATTGTGAAAACCTGCAAGTGTTGCTGAAAGCATCATTTCCGTTTGGTCTTGATGAGCAAAGTTAAGAGAACAACACACTGAGGTGCTTGAGACCCAGCACTTTCTGAGGGGATTTTTTTATTCTTTTTTTCAACTTGTTCTTTTTATTTTACTTGACTCTACTGTATCACACTTGTAATGATAGATTGTTTTTTACCTGTTGTACATCTATTGTGTCATAAAACTGTACTACATGTTGCCATTAAAGTGATTGTATTCATTGTTTGCTATAAAGATGCCAAATTTATTTAGTATTATTATTATATTTAGTATTTTTATAGTATTATTTAGTAGATAAATCAAATTGAGACATTTCAGGTTCTGATTTTATGTTTAAGTATTAAGATTAAACATACAGTTGAAGTGAGAATTATTAGCCCCCTTTGAATTTTTTTCTTTCTTTTTTAATATTTCCCAAATGATGTTTAACAGAGCAAGGAAATTTTCACAGTATGTCTGAAATTTTTTCTTCTGGAGAAAGTCTTATTTGTTTTATTTCGGCTAGAATAAAAGCAGTTTTATTTTTTTTAAAAGCCATTTTAAGGTCAAAATTACTAGCCCCTTTAAGCTATATTTTTTGATTGTCTATAGAACAAACCATCGTTATACAATGACTTCCCTAATTACCCTAACCTGCCTAGTTAACCTAATTAACCTAGTTAAGCCTTTAAATGTCACTTTAAGCTGTATAGAAGTGTCTTGAAAACCCTCAGATAAAATAATATTTAATGTCATCATGGCAAAGATAAAATAAATCAGTAATTAAAAACGAGTTATAAAAACTATTATGTTTAGAAATGTGTTAAAAAATCTCTCTGTGAAACAGAAATTAGGGAAAAAAACGGGTGCTAATAATTCAACTGTGTGTGTATATATATATATATATATATATATATATATATATATATATATATATATATATATATATATATATATATATATGGAAGAAATAACTTAATAAATTATGTTAAACTTTTATGGCTTGTGTTTACTGTGCAGAATTGGAATAATGTTTCTCTGAGCTCTGTTTCCAGAACTATGCTGATATCTGTATTTCCAAGTGAACAATCAGAAGCTCTGACTCATCATTTTGTTGCCAGTTCTCAAATGATGTTGATATATGCTGTTTGCAGCCAAATAACTTCCTTGTACTTGCAAATAATAATATCTTTTTAATAATGTAAAAAAAAAATTGTTGTTCTGTACAGTTACCCCTTCTTATTGTCTTAATATTTTATCCCCGCCAAATAGCACTGTTGCTTTAATTTAGTTTGAAATTCAGGATTTGTTGATGTAGTTTTATTGCTGTATGACCCTTGAATGTTTTTAATGTGTAGCCTACTGTTAAGCTGTTTTCCCAGTCTCCACATTTGTTACAGGTGTTCAGGAAAGACAATTTCCTGCCTGCTGTTTTGTTGTACTTTCATAGCTGGCAAGGCTTTTGTTGTTTAATTTAATAAAGGAAGTGAATTAAAACTGGTATGCTGAGCTATGTATTGCCTTTAACATTCACACAGAACTTACAGTCAAATAACACTATAAAAATGGCTGGTCTGCTTTAACCACAATTTGGGTAAAATATGGACAAACCCAACAACTAAAATAAATATAAAAATACTTTCAACCCAACTATTGAGTTTGTCCCAAATTTGATCCAACACAACCCAGCACTCATGCATTCAGTTAATTAGCATACTTATCTTTTTGTAGTCCTTTGTACTGTTATAGTATGCACCATTCTAACTACAAATGGCAAGTTAAGCATGACAACAGCTTACATTAATTAAAAGAAAACATAAATGGACAACCATAAAGGGAATACAGAAAGCATTAAGGGATTTCTGTCCTATACTGCCATCTAGTGGAACAAACGGGGTGAAGCTTCATTATTATTATTTTTAAACATCCCTCGTGTTGGTCTATTTCTTCAATGTAAGCATATGGCGCCCTCGCCTGGTCACACATCTGCAATGCTTGCCTACCGTTTTGAGAGTGATTTAGTCTGCTGTTAATGAGTTATTTAATATCCCTAATCAATACTTATAGAAATAAATAGATACATATGCTTGCTTTTGCGTGACTAAGCATGAGCCAAACAGACTGGTTTCCTGTTTAACGATATTGATGGTGGGGATGATCAGTGTTTTATCTGCTTACAAACTTTCATCTTTAGGCTTGTGGGGTAATAATTTATTCTCACTGATAACGATAGCTCCTTTCTGTTGCCCAGTAGGGTTAAAGTACTGCCAAACTGTACTAGTCTACAAGCTGGATTGTTAAACAATGTTTTATGGCATCTTAGATTTTTAATTTCTTTTTAAAGAACAGCGATTGCAAAAGCTTGTTTAACACCAATGTTGTTTTACTTCAATTGATTGGGAGCATTGACCCCAAAGATAGCAATTTTGCTAACTTTAACATATATATATATATATATATATATATATATATATATATATATATATATATATATATATATATATATATATATATATATATATTATTATTATTATTTTAAAAAAAATTTTTAAGGAAAAATATGACAACTTGTAATTTTACATATTTGCAAATGGAATTGCCATTATACTTTTTCCAGAACAACTTTGTTAAAAACTTGCAAAAATTTTGACAAAGCTCTGAGAATTTTTCCTTTTAGCCGCAATCAAATATTGTACACGACCTGATAAAAGTCTTTGTCGTCTATCCCAGTTGTAAGAGCAACAAATAATAACTTCTAAATGATCATTTGGAAAAGTGTCAGAAGGATTTTTATTCTTTGAATTATTTGTTGAACTTCTTCCCAATCATCACAAATACTGCAGAAGAACTATTGGAACCCACATGAACCCAAGACTCTTACAGAAATTAGCAAAGTTTGGTAAAAGAAAAATCATGTTTTGGGGTTACATTCAGTATGGGGTCAACAGCCTGAGGTATCAAGACATCTGCGCTGTCCATTATTACAAACCACTGGAGAGGGCTCTTCATACTTCAGCCTCCACATCAAAGTTCCTGAAAGCAAAGAAGGTCATGGTGCTACAGAATTGGCCAGCCCAGTCACCAGATGTAAACATAATAGGAGGAGGCATTGAAAATGAATCCAAAGAATCTTGATGAACTCTGGGAGTCCTGCAAGAACGCTTTCTTTGCTATTCCAGATGACTTTATTAATTAGTTATTTGAGTCATTGCAAAGATGTATGGATGCAGTCGTCCAAGCTCATGGGAGTCATACACACTATTGTTTCTTTTACCACTGCACCATGACTTTATATTCTGTACTGTCCATTATTTTTTTTAAGTGACAAGATTTATTTATTTTTTTAGCAAAGTCAGACCTCACTGTCCTAATTAAATAATAAAAATCAAGACATAACCATATTTTATTTTGGTAAAATAAGCGTAATCTAGAGGCCTTTGCCTTTCATATAAGACACTTCTTATACCAAATGATCAGGTAGAAGTCAAGTTATTATTCATTGTTCCTAAAACTTCGATTGGCGACAATACTTTTGTCTGGTGTACATTAAAGTAAATATTTCCAACTACTGAATAACACTGCAAGTGTTCTAAAAAAAAAGTAAATGACTTCATCGGAAATAACCTTTGAACCAAAAGAATGGCAATACAGTCAAGTTTGCCACAAATCACTTTAATAGTTAAATATAAGTGATATATAGTTCAAAAATGTTTAGCCATTTAGTTCACAAAATAGGAATGTATAGAGATTTCAGTTTGTGCAGATAATAAAGCACAATCTGTGGAAGGAGGATTTGAGGCCGAATTCTCCTTATCTTCTGTTTATCTTAAGGAGATAAACAAAATGACCCCAGAAACTGAACAGACACTGATAATCAGATAAGTAAAACTCATAAGGTACTTAAATGAAGACAGTGGAGGGAGTGTACGTCAGAATGTTCTTAGGTATTTTAATGTAGCAGTATATTTAGAAAAGGTCAGTTATTTTTAGATGTAATCATGACATTTTTGAGATGGAATGAACTGATGACGGCTGTTTTCTTCCGTCTACCATTCCTGCACAGTCTTGTCCCACACTAGCTGTCCATGCGGCTCTTTGGCTCCCTCAGGCAGCATGGCCAGATAAACTGGAGTTTCTGCTCCTTCTTCTGGACTTTTGGGGGCCTTTGGTCCAGCCATGTCTGTGCGCACCCATCCTGGACAGCAAGCGTTCAATAGGATCCCATCACCTGGCCTCGTCTCATTAAGAACTCGTGCCTGGATTCTTGATAGCACAGTCACACCAATCTAAAAACAAACACAACAAATGTGGTGAAGACAAATTCCTTATCTGCCAGATTTAGTCTCAGTCTGTTTATGACAAAACACGGTATCCAGCAAAACATTCTCTTCAGTTTTTCAGGAACAAGTCAGGATTAGACACTTTTTACAGTGTCAGTATGTGTTTAGATTACTCTGACACGATCAAAACAAAATCTTTACTAAATTGAGTAGGATAACGACCAACACAGGCTCATTAGAAATACATTTGTCTGCCATCTTTTCTGTGAATCTGCAAAAAAAAAGTACTTTAACACATGTTTGACTGCATTTTTTATGTAAAATGAACAGTATGGGGCCGTATGATGCCAACAACCTACTTCCTTTTCACACTAATAATATTTACAAGGACATATTACCAACAAATTAAGGATTATTTTCTTGCAGTTCATTGCGCAACAACAAATAAATACTGACTTATCACCAATCTAATATAGTAAACAATATAATACCAAATATAAACACCTCATCTGTGTCTATGATTTATAAATCAAATAAGTTTCCCTCACCTTATCTCCATATGAACAACTTTCCTGGTGTGGTTAGTTTCCTTGATAACTCACTTGGTATAATTTGTTACTTGTGATGCAGAGCACTGGGGGTTTGTGTGAAGCACAGTTCCACAAAAGAGATGAAAGCAGTGTAAAATCAAGGAAAAACTGTGATCACAGTGCACTTATGCCTTACATTGGCTTTTAAAAACACTATACGTTGGCTTTTGAAACCAGCCTCCAGCACCTAGACTGCAGCTCTTAACAGGAAGTTTGGCCAGAGGAGAAATGGTTGTGCCCAACCGAGCCTGCTTTCTCTCAAGTTTATTTTTCCTTAACTTTCATCAATTGGTGAAGTTTTGCTCCTCACCACTGGCTTGCTTGGGTTGGGACTTGTGGAGCTGCGCACTGATGGATTTGTTCTTCAGTGTTTAGACTTTCATTAGTGATTTTTATACCACACTGAACTAAACTAAAACTCAACTCTTAAAACTGGACTGACACAGTTTCAATTTACTCTAATCTTCTATGTTAAGCTGCTTTGACACAATTTACATTGTAAAAGAGCTATATAAATAAACATGAACTGAATTGAAATTTTACAAGAGTGTAGAGAAGCAAAGTCCCTATATGGCAATTAATTTCACTTTGTCCCCATC